AAAATACAGTAATTAAAAAATAAGGCAAGAAATAGTTTGCCTAAATTAACTTGGGCAAATATTTTTTGAAACATGGAGGGTGCCTGAGTTATCTTGGCCAAATCAGGGAAGGAGTTAAAATGGATTTAATACATCATATGCTACCTTTTCGGTGTATTTTCTGAATAATTGTGAAACATTTAACATAATTTTTGGTAGTTTGGTGTTTTCTAATAGGAAATATGCATTTCTTTCAAGATCTATCATGTAATTACCATAAAAATATGTAATAATACAAAGCAACTAAAATATAATTTAACTTTATCTCTCTCACAAATCTTTCATAATTATGAATGAAATTTGATGCAAATAGATTTAACACTTGTAAAATATTACTTTATAAGGTGAAGTTTTAACAAACCATCATTCACTATGGTCAGTGAGTTCTCTAAACTAACTCTAATCTGAAATAATGAATAAATAACAAACAATGTTAAAAATAGATAAACAATGAAAAACATTTTTAATTCAGGCCAATCTACTGCTTCTAAAATGTTGGAACTACATGTTTCAACGTTTTCCATCTCATCATTATGAGTAAGCTTGCAAAATATAATAGTGCCATATTTATTTCTTCTTAACTAGGCCATGTGGCCTGTGTGTAGGTTTACTCTTTTTATATAATTCTCACAGGAGGTCCCACCAGATTCTTGCACAGCTATTCAGCACTTTTTTCGCTATTTAATAATTCATCGTCTTTTTTGAAACTTTATTCTTTCTAAAAGATCGTTGATATTATTGGTTCTAATTTGCCATGTAAAGTTCTGTAAAGAGAAGGATACTGCCTAACACTGCCTACATTTTTTTTATGTTTTCTTTTAGACACATTCCAAGCTCTTATTCAATATCCAGATGTCATCACTGCACAAGCTGCAAAATTGGTAAATAGTACTTGGATAATTAAAAGAGGATGAACAACAACAGTGATCAAACTCGGTAGCAGGTAGTATCTCGTTAAAATACATAGAAAATTGGATTTTTTTTTACACTAATTTAGCTTAATGGAGTTAGTATAAACAAAATGGTGGGTGTTTATGTTTAGTCCAGAGATAGTGCTGTTCTGTACAGAAAAAAAAATTTTTTGCATATTCAAGTAAAATGATTACATAAAACCATTTCAACATACTTGATCACTGTTTGTAAGAGATTATAATTCTATTTAATTATTTTGACTTTTTGCGGTGTTATTTCTGAAAAAAAAAAAGGAATCTACTACTGAAAAAAAGTAAGAAAAATGCCAGAATTTCCTTATCATTTGTTATAAGGTCAAAGTTAGTTGTGAATGTTTGAATTAGTTTTTAACAGACATATATGACTTACCAAAATATTGAAGCAATGCAACTTAAGCAGAGGTTGAAATAGAGGAGTCAAAGGTCAAGAAACATAATGAGGCAAAACAATATATAGTCTAGTATGAATAACCATTGAAGTAAGAAAGTTACCTACATTTTTTTATGTATTAGCTCTAGCTCCTCTACCACATGTTAAAAATCGGTACAGACAAATTATTTTTGGAGGGTGGGAGAATATTTGGGTGTACAAGAATCCTTCGACTTGACCTTAATGATTGTAATGGTTATTGACTGAGAAAGTCATGAATAATAGTTTTGTAACAAAAGTTTGAGGATAGTTACAGTTTTTAAAGTGTGAAAGCTGTAGCAAAAGTAATGCACTTTTTACAGAAATAAATAAGTTAATTGACTACTGCATATTGATTTGAATTTTAAGCCATTGGTAGATTTCATCTTAATAACTCAAGAAAATTTTAACCTGTGAAAGTTATTGATTACATAGGAACTAACAGTCTTAAAAATAAATGTCATTCTTGGCATTTGAAAATGCAAATGATTTACTTCATTCAATCTTTGCTGACAAAAATTAAACACCATCCAAACTGCTATGCTGGTCAAATGTAACTGCAAATTTAATACTGATGCCGTGGTTAACTCTTTCAGCGTGGGCTTGCTCCCTGGGACTGACCTTGTAACCATTTTGTGCTTGTTATATTTTCATGCTATAACTTTTAAATTAGTAAGCATATGTTAACGAAAGTTGGCAGATTATCAGTAAATATTACAATGCTTTCATATGCAAAATATCAGTTTTTTTAAAATAAGTCTTAAGGTTTGTTAAGTAATGTTTTTCTCATGCATTTTTTTCTATTTGCATGTTACCTATCCAACATGCAAAGTAATTTTCATTTTAAGATTAAAATTACTTTTATGCATCAGAAACTTTTCAAAGTTCACATTGAAATCTTTATTATGTTCAGACAGTTTTCAAACGTTTCTTAAGAAAAAAATTATATTTTGTGTTATTTTCACCCATTTTCTGTATGGGTTTGGTCAATTTCACCGATCTCGTAACCACCATAAAAAATTAGGAAATACATATAAATTATGCCTTTTTTTGTTCTAGAATGAATACATATTATAACACAAAAACATAAATGTTTAGACTAAATAGTTTAAATCTCATAACATTATACATTTATATATATTATTTTTATTATATTGACCTTTCAGCCATGCCTGGCTAACAATACAGAAGTTACAATGATGTGACACACGTACACTCATGTTATCGTATCCAATAATATAAATCTGACCTTTAGTCTTTACAAAGTGACCTGTCTTGGCTGTATTTTAGAAGACTAGTATTTTGTAAAATACAGTTACATTTCAATTATTATACATTATATATGTATATAGATTTTTTCTATTTAGAAATAAATTCTTAAACTTATTTTTCTTTAAACATAGAACACTAAATATAGAAGTAAAGCACACAATAATCTTATTTAGTTATGACCTTTGTACTTGGTTGCTGCTTGACATAAGGTAATAACACTTTTAAAAGTTTGCACATGGAGAATTTGAAATGAAATAATTGTTTTTAGGTTTTATATGTACAGTTGAATAACCAAAAAAATCATAAATTACTATATCAATACCATAGAATTCCACTATAAGTT